TTTAAAAAAAAAAAAAAAAAGTTAAGCCAGGCATGGTGGCACACGTCTTTAATCCCAGCACTCAGGAGGCAGAGCCAGGTGAGTTCAAGTTCACTCATCTCTGTGAGTTCAAGGCCAGTCTGGTCTACATAGTGAGTTCCAGGACAGCTGGGGCTACAGAGAGACCCTGTCTCAAAAAGACCAAAAAAAAAAAAGTTAAAATATTTTCAAACTATTACACATCTGAGACAAAGGAGAGCTAAAGACTGTCATTAGCAGACCTCCTTTCAAGAGCAACCAGGAAGTAGAGCAGAAGTGGGGCTAAGCACAGGTGAGTCTTATCCCCTCAGGGTTGTTCCAAACCATGTAAGGAGGAAGCAAGCATTTTCAGACCCCGGGACACCCAAAACAGTGATATTTGTAAGCAGAAAGGAAGGGGGGAAGCTTTCTACACTCTGCTGGACAGTGTGTACCAATGCTGTGTCAGTTCAACCTGTAGATTTTACACCCAAAGCACCACCATGAAGCTATTCATGTCAGTCATGATGGCACACACCTGCAATCCCAGCACTCCAGAGGCAGAGGCAGGAAGACTAAGTCAAGGCCAGCCTCAGCTACATAGAGAAATCAAGGTCAGCATGGACTAAATTGTAAAAGCCTGCCTCAAAGAGGGAGGGGGAAGGGGGGAGGGGGAAGGGAAGAAAGAAAAGACAAAACATTTCACCAAGGAGGACCCATAGATAGCAGACAGCCAGTTAGTATTCAACATAGTTAGGCAGCAAGGAAACGTAAATCCAAACCAAACCACAGCACTATTCTGCGGAGGCAGGAGGAACCTGAACCACATCCACTTCCTACAGAGGGAAAGTAACATCTGACTCTCCTGATTTTCCTATTTTTTATATGCTTAAATTTATTATTTTCCTTGTCCTTGATCAAAATTTAAAAATAAAAGTCACTATTATTAATTCACTACTATTATTTAGAACTATTTCTAGATTAAAAAAAAAAAAGAAAGAAAACACAGCCACCACCCACACCTACAAGCACATTATTAAACATTTCCCAGAGATTAAAAAAAAGCATGCTCACCCCAACACCTGCACATGGGTTTATTCCTAGTCCCTCAAACTGGAAACAGACTAACTGCCTTAAAGGTGAATGGAACAGCACATATCCCAGCCACTACTCAATAAAGAGAAGGAACCGACAACACAGACTGACTTGTGCAATCTCAGGGTTTTATACCAGTGGTTTGTGTTAAGGTTCAGACAGCCCCACCCCCTCACCAACAGGATCCCAGGGACTTCTCATGCTCCTGAGAAAAGGGAACCTAGCTGATAAGCACCCTGGTCTTTGAAGTCAAGAGAAGCAGACTTTTCTCCATTGTTTGGCCAACACAGCAGGCTTCCCCTTTGATCTCTAAAGAGGACAGGTTTTAACAGCCCCGCTCTCCCGCTCTCCCACTCCCCCCACCCTGCCCAACTTTTAAAAAACTACATCTTAAAACAACAACGACAACAACAAAAAACATCTTCTGGCCTTCTGCAGGAAGCAGAAGCCTTCCCCTTTAAAAGACCCCAGCTCATGACCCAGGGCAGACATTTTCCCTGCCCGGAAGGGAATCTGTCCCAGACGTGTTCCTTTGCTAATAAACTCTATTTTCTCCTAAACTTTTTCTCAGGCAAAGGGGCTCAAAATTTTGATCTTAGGCCCTCTTGGGAATCAAGCAAATGGTGCTCAGGTACCTACTTTTCTAACTAGACCTGACCATTTTAAATTTCACTGTACATAAAGGTCAGAGGCACTGCTCAGACGAGTCATATGCTTTCAGACCAACAACACTGATTTATATGCCCTGTTCCTTCTGCTGCCCTCATGAGTTTCCTTTCCAGCATAGCTTGTGTCTACAAACTAAGAGATGCTGACAACTTGGCTTCCCATTCACAGCTACAATGGCTGGTGAGAATCATGGACTCCTTTGATTTGCTTTTCTATTTAGGCTATATATATATATATATATATATATATAATGTTACTTTCTTCTTTTCAAAGGAGTCCATGATTCTCACCAGCCATTGTAGCTGTGAATGGGAAGCCAAGTTGTCAGCATCTCTTAGTTTCTAGACACAAGCTATGCTGGAAAAGAAACTCATGAGGGCAGCAGAAGGAACAGGGCATATAAATCAGTGGGTTGTTGGTCTGAAAGCATATGACTTGTGGGAGCAGTGCCTGTGACTTTTATGTATAGTGAAATTTAAAATTTGTTAGGTCTAGTTAGAAAAGTATGCGCCTGAGCACTGCTTGCTTGGTGCCCAACAGGGCCCAAGATCAAAATTTGGAGCCACTTTGCTGGAGAAAAAGGGTAGGAGAAAAAAAAGGCTTTTAAAATGTTTTTCATTTGTTGATGGGGCAAGTGATACTTTGTGATGACTAGACCTGTGTAGCACATGGAAATTTGCTGTACTCCAGGGCCAAACCTTACAAGAGACAAGCTACTACCAACACATGTTACAACAATGAGAGGTAAAAAGTAATGGTCTACTTGAGTGAGAGGCTTGAGATGCCATCTCTACTGCTCTTAACTCCTCCCCTTTCTATATTGTGATTCCTGTTTTTCTCTGAAACAGAGTTATTTCCTCTCTGATGCTCAGATGCTCTATGTTTGCTTATGTTCCTGCCCCATCATGTTACAACAATGAGAGGTAAAAAGTAATGGTCTACTTGAGTGAGAGGCTTGAGATGCCATCTCTACTGCTCTTAACTCCTCCCCTTTCTATATTGTGATTCCTGTTTTTCTCTGAAACAGAGTTATTTCCTCTCTGATGCTCAGATGCTCTATGTTTGCTTATGTTCCTGCCCCATCATTCCCTGAGTACTTTCTAGTTATAATGTCAGGGTAATATTAATTATATTGGTAAATTGTCACGTGCTGCCTGAGCTCACTGAGACACTGACTCTGGAGATGGGCTTGGCCCTCCCACCTCAGACTCAAGCCTACTATCTCAAGATGTGTTCTCCAAGACTTTTCTAGGTTCAGGCTGGCCCCCTACCCTGTGACAAGGAAAAGGAGAACAACAAAACAGCCTAAGAGTAAAGGCACTATGCAGTTGAGAACTGCTAAGGTGTAAATTAATTTCAACAGAGGGTATTACTGACTATAATGAAACTTGCTAATGGAATTATTTTCAGTACTATTTACATTTTATTTATTCTTAACCTAATTTGTAAATGTTTTCTTTTGTCTTTCCTGCCTCCTACAAGGTTTCATTAACTTCCTTCAGTTATTTAGCTCTTAAAAAAAATAAAAAATAAAAGATGCTGCCTCAAATCTATATGAAAACTTAACTCTTTAGGCCACTAATTACCTGTACAAAACAACATCTAAGCTGGCTGGGTAAAATACTATTTATTGAATACCATTTTTGTTTTTAGTTTACTTTCACGGCGTTTTAAGATGTATTTTGTTTATCTACTTCAAAGGTGTTTTGGTTTAAAAATGATAAACCTCGGGGTTGGGGATTTAGCTCAGTGGTAGAGTGCTTGCCTAGCAAGCAAACGGT